CCTTGGCATCTTTTCACCTTTTTGCTCATTAGAAATGGTCTGTTTAATATCAGTAGAGGAATTGTCTATATATTTTTTTAATCAACTATAAAACCTTCAAAATAGGTAGGTGACTATTTCAGGGGAGTGGATGTTATGTTCGAAGTGGTAGAAAACCTGGTTGCAGCCTGCATCCTTTCATGGCCCCAGGTTAACTGTTTTTGGTGGGAAGGAAAAAAAGTGATTCCCTGAATTTGAGACTATAACTTCTCCAGAGCTGTGATGTATTTTGTGGTGAACAAGAGCTTTCATACGCAGGCTAGACTATCGTGAAGCAAGGACTGTGTGACATTCATTGTGCTCTCAATGGAGACTTGCTGCAAGTTTGACAAGTAACGAATTTGACACCTTTGAATTGCTTTCAGTGAATTTTTTCTGTAATGCTATGTTCCATTTTCCTGAAAACACTAAAAGGAGGGAATTGAAGGTAGCCTGAAACTGCTGTGAACGAAGATGTACACAGAAGTATTCATAGCGGAAAGCAAGTTTTGCAGTTCTGCATTTTGCATAATATTTACAGGAGTGCATAATTGTGCGACCTGTTTTGGATGTGTATAAAAGTACATGTAACTCAAACTCTTCCCCCAGCCTCCAAGGAGCATTTGAGAGAGTACTGTTGACACTGATACAAATCATAAATAGTGTTAATATGGACACACTATACCTTGGATGATAATCAAAAAGGATTTATTTATTTGATACTTAAAAAGTTACAAATGAAACTTTTGAACAGTTAGTTGAATACACCTAGGGGTATTGGTTGACAGCCGGCTGAATATGAGCCAGCAGTGTGCCCAGGGGGCCAGGAAGGCCAATGGCATCCTGGCTTGTATCAGAAACAGTGTGGCCAGCAGGACAAGGGAACTGATCACCCCCCTGCACTCGGCACTGGTGAGGCCCCACCTCAAGTACTGTGTTAAATTTTGGGCCCCTCACTACAAGAAGGACATTGAGCTGTTGGAGTGTGTCCAGAGAAGGGCAACGAAGCTGGTGAGGTGTCTGGAGGACAAGTCTTATGAGGAGCAGCTGAGGGAACTGGGGGTGTTTACCCTGGAGACAAGGAGGCTCAGGGGAGACTTTATTGCTCTCTACAACTACCTGAAAGGAGGTTTTAGCGAGGTGGGGGTCAGTCTCTTCTCCCAGGTGACAAGTGATAGGACAAGACGAAATGGGCTTGAGTTGCACCAAGGGAGGTTTAGATTGGATATGAAGAAAAATTTCTTCACAGAAAGGGTTATTAAACATTGGAACAGGCTGCCTAGGGAAGTGGTGGAGTCGCTGTCCCTGGAGGTATTTAAAAGATGGGTAGACATGGTGCTGAGGGACATGGTTTAGTGGTAGTTTTGGCAGTGTTGGGTTGATGGTTGGACTTAATGATCTTAAAGGTTCCATCCAACCTAGACGATTCTATGATTCTATGAATAAACTTGCCCTGTAGTAATGATTAGGGTGTTTAATTGCAGAACCCTGCTGTTTTGCTGTAAGCAGAGGGGTATTTTTTCCTCTTTTATAAAGTAATTCAAGCCTATTTTTGACTGTATACTATCTTTTCTTTTCTAATAAGTAGTGTGGTTTCTTCCCCTCCCCCCCCAGCAATTTGTTTGTAAATGGGATGTTTTAGTCATGTCACAGGACTCAACCCACTCCAGTGGGTTCACGGCTGAGGGAAACAAATCATACGCCTAGGCAAGAGTCATGGTTCTTGCCTGTGTCTGAGAAAAATACTACACTGAGTGTCACATTTTAGTGGACCTTTTGCATAGCATGTTCCCTTGGTCTAATATGAATTGTTACATTTTTTCTGATATTTTGGAGATTTTTACCTGAGTTACTTCTCTTTCTTTTTCTCCTTTTATCTTAGTTTAGGCATAGACTGGTTGAAGAAACAGCCATCTGCCTGCAAAGCTGTTAGAGAAACATATGATACGAGGCTAACAAATCTAAATGCTTATCTTGTGTGATACTGTTGGTTGATAGAACATTTTGGGTACCAGTTAAGTTTCTTGTTTTATCGCAGAGGTCTCTGAGAGCCTGAGGATGTTTAATGGATGCATGTTGCATTCTTGATTGCCGAAGAACTCGGAATTTCCCTGTCTTAGAAACCTTTGGAATAGATGAAAAGATTATTTCATAGGGTAGTTTGTGCTGAACTGCACCTTTAAAAACAATTGCTTGCTCTATAAGATTGAATTTGTGAGATGGCTGGGTCACTATTCATAGACCAGTGTTCCCTGCCCAGGATAACTCCACAACATTCTACCTAACGCTCTGGAGAAAGAAGCTGAGAGCAGGTTATGGTCCCTGGATATGAAGAGTTAAGGCAAAAGAATATAAGCTTATTTGTCTTGTAGAAATTGTGATTTCCAGTTGCTGATAGTTTATTGATGCCAACAATTACTTGTCAAGTGCATCTGCCAGAAAAATGAGTTAAAATGGCACCCCAAGATATGGACTTTCTCAGTCTTTTTTCTTGTCTGCTTGGTGCAAATTTTTTTATTCTTAAACCTCAGACTGTGATTTCCTCAGAATTGAAGTGTAAGCAAGTTCAGAGCAGGTCATGATTCTAATGGAAGATGCTGAAGGAAATAGCAAGTTTTATTGGACATTACTCGTTGTTTTTTATAACTATGCCACGATGACTGGCCAGGACTGGAGAGAAAAGGACTGATATGCATTGGTGGTATTTATTTTAGGACAGTTGATGTGGAGAAACAAAGTTGAGCAACTAAAGAACCTGAACCAAAAAGGTGGGACTGTAAGGTCAACAAATCAGCATACTGCTTTTCTGGCTCCAATTTTCTGTGTAGGGACCCATGAGCTGCTTCCTTCCGTGTGCCTGAATGTAAGAGGTCAGATGCCCTGCAGTTCACCAGGCAATTTTTCTCTTTAGAAATAGTATGGTTACAAAGATAAGACTCAGGGTCTGGCAGCAACATGTGATTGAAAAGTAGCTGGCTGAAGCTTAGAGTAAATAAGACAGATGTTTTGTTGCTAGGAAAAAGAACAACAAAAAAAAGACCTTCAAAGAACTGATAGTGGTGTTGGCCTTTCAGTTCCTTGAAAATGATTCTCTACCAGTTTTTAAAGTAATGTGATACTTCAGATGCCTGTGACACTGCTGTGTGTGGCTATGTAAATAGTGTCACTCTGACAACTTGCTCTACTTGGTTCTGACATAGACAGCTGTTTGGAAAGACCGGGACATCTAACAGATGCTATGAAATTCTTTACAAGTATAATCAGTAGATATTCTGGTGGTACGGAAACATAGAATTAGCTTTCAATGCACTCTGTTTTCTCTACAAGTAATGTTGATCTTCAGAAGTTGATGATAAAATAAATGAAACACCTGTCCTGTTTGTGCATTGTTACTTTGAGTCTGGTTATATTAATAGAGAAATTAAGCAAGGTCGTTACTAAATCCCATGAGCATTTTACCTTTGTGTAATCAACGCTTTACACCTCTTGCAGAAAAAAACTCTTCAGGTATTACTTCAGTATTCTCTGTAGGATAAAGTGTGTGTTCACAACGTTTGTTAGCCACCAAAATTGTGCTAGGTGCAGAATACAGAAACAGAGTGCTAAATGTTCCAGTGTGGCCAGTACAGAGAAGACAGTGACTCCATGGGGCGAGATTTGAATGCTCCAGGTTGGATGCCTAAAGTATGCAGTATAAATTCATTTTTAGATATTTATTTCTTCACTGTTGTTTAGTGACTGTCTTTGGCATTGCACAATGTATAAATTCAGTGAATATTTTAAGTATCATGTCAATGTTATAGTAATTATGTTGCACTAAAGTTTCATTTTCTGTATACATGTTGTTCAGAACTTTTCTATAGTTGTGTTTCACTAAAAAAATGGAGTTTTATTATTATCAGAACTTGGTATCTGTGTCTACATTAAAGTTCATTTCTCCTTATCTCAAAGTAAGAAGAGTGTCTGTAAAGGATACTTCAGCACATTTTTGCAAATCACTGTCTTGCAGACATGTCAAGTTTTCTACTAGAGTATTTCTGCTGCTGCTGTTCACTTTTTAGTGTTAGTCCCCATGAGTGAAGTGCCAGATTCAGACATACAAAGAATAGCCCATATCCAAATTGTAGTTTAGATAGTTTGACAGCTGTCAAATACGTTGGTTTTTTTTCCTACCTCAGTGTTACAACACATGCTGCTCTCTGAGGGAGGCAAAAGCTTTCTGTAGATAACCTTATTGCTTGGCTTCTGTTGAGATGGCTGAGCGCTGCTGAACTGTGTCCTAAGAATTACTGTGGCACATAAGCCTGTGCAGTCACTCATGTGTCTACTGTTGGGCTCTTCCAGAATCCATAGTGTGGCTGACACAGGAAAAGTAGTTGAAATGAATGCCTTTGCGTGTTGTCACTCTAGCTTCTCATTTACTGTTCCACTCACTATTGTATCACCATTCACCTCATTAAGTGTCTAATTACTTTACTAGGCTTCTTTGACACCTTTTTCCCCCAATTACGAAGTGTTTTCCTGATGGTTTGGAGATGAACTGAAAGACCTTATCATGCTCAGAAAGGAGCAACTGCCATAATGGAAGCTACAGGTTACAGCAAGGAGCTGCAGGGCTAAGTAAAAAAGAATGGGCAAAGATTTAGATATTAGTACCAAGATATGCCAGTGAGGAGGTATAGGATTAGACCGTGTGGCACTGGAAGCACGGTGGTTCTGCCAGTACTCATTAATGGAGCAGAAACTTTCAGGGATGAAAACTGGATGGAGGTGGTTTTTTTTTTTCCAAATGTCAAATTAACATTGTTTATGTGTTGAATTTACAGTTGCTTTTTCTTTTATTCTTTCAATGGTGATTATTTAGGAGAGGAAATTTACTCCATTGCTTTGATCATTTTAAGTAGAAGGGTTATTTTCAGATACAAGTGTTAAATCTGTTTAATTATTCTTGTTTTAATTCGTTCTTATTATTGTCTTGAAAGGGGCTGACAATATCAGGAAATACTGGAGTCGTTACTACCAAGGATCCCAGGGGGTAATATTTGTATTAGACAGTGCCTCCTCTGAAGATGACCTAGAAACTGCTAGGAATGAACTGCATTCCGCTCTCCAGCACCCACAGTTATGTACTCTGCCGTTTTTAATACTGGCCAATCATCAAGACAAGCCAGCAGCTCGCTCCGTACAAGAGGTATGTTACAATAGCACCATCGTGCTTGTTTGTATTTACTATCTGCACACTACTCAACTGCTATGACTTACTACCCTGGCATCCTGGTTAGGGACTGGCCTCCGTTACTCTTTGCTGTAAGTACACAGACCAAGAACAGTCCCAGCCCCTAAGAACCTCGTCCAGTGCACTCTGTGCAGGCTTAGTTGCTCTGGAAAACAGACAAGTAATACTTGGAAACAAGCAGTTCTCCTGCTTTCACCATATTTCGCTTAAGGGAGAAAAGACATTTTTAAACTACTTTTATCAAAAGCTGCTGGGACAGTGATTTTTTTGTTTAGCTTGGGTTTTTATTTGGTATTAATTTTAATCTTGCACTACTCCATTAATCCATTCTGCTTAAAGCAATAGATTGCAGCCATAGGTTGTCGTTTACATAAAGCTTTCTTTCTGAACTGCTAGGTACTGATGTGAGGGCAGAGTTGCAATTCCTGTTCTGAAGTCCTTAACTTTTTCTGATTTCCATCTTTTAAGGAGTAATGTCTTTGTCTAATTTGTAGCTATCACATAGTAAATTATATAATTGTTCTATTCAGTGTACCTTATGCTCTTAAGTTTCTGAAAAATTCACCTTTCCTACATTCCTATCATGTCACATACCTTTGAGGAAATGCTGAAAGTTACCAGTTCTTCATGAGAAGCTCTACTTACTCTTCTGAAGTTGTAGGAAGAAGTTACAATTTGGTTGTGTCATTCTGTTCATAAATGTCATTTAAAGGACTCTTCCTATTAAAGATTGTATGTGAAATCTCCTGTTTGTTCTGAGTGGTGTCTTTTATTACAGAAGAGCGAAGACTGTTTCAGCACCTTACTGTGTTGCTGCTTTGTATTTAAACTTGTTGCTTTCTTAGATGCAATTCTTTGTCTAAAATATGGTCTTTCTGAAAAATGACAATTCAATTCAATGCACAACTTACTGATCTGTAGGATAACTGCGATTTGTACAGTTTAGTTGCATGTGCTTTCTGTACTGCTTTATTGCTATTTATGCTTCCTTTCTTAGCCAAAAGAAATAGAGGATAAAATTTAAGCTTATTACGTGTTAAAAAGGAGAAGTGTAAATGTGACTGGAGTGTAGTGATGTTTTTAATATGAGACGAAAAGAATAAGTGAGAACTGTGTAAGCTACACTGTAAAATGTTTTATTAAATTGTTGGTTCTTTCCTCCAAGAAGCCGTGCTTAGGGGGAAAAAAAAGAATTTGGAGTTAGTATATCAAGTTACATAAAAAGGTAAACTGAAATGACGCAGGGAATAGAATCTACAAGTTCCAGCTCTTGTTCATCTAAAAACCGATTTAGGAAGAAGTAATGAATATTTAAAGGAAATGTAATACGGATTTCTATATATCAGTTTATTAATTTCTTCTAGTTTATTGTGCAATGTAAAAGCAAAGCATGTATTCCTAGACCTCCCACTTAAAAATGATAATATCCTGAGACACAATTGGTTTAATTTTATTCATCCAAATATACCCATGGTGTTTTGATTTTCACTTTTTTCCTAGAGCAATACAGATTACAATTTCCATCAATGGAAATGCTTTTTTCACATGATTTAAGTATTTTTTATTTTGCTACGTTTTTCCTTTTTAAAATGGCCAAATTTGGTTTAAAGTTAATTGAGGATTTTGATTATAAATATCATTTAAGAAATGTTCCTTGTCCAGTTTCATAAGAATGGTAAACACGCCAGTCAGTTTGATTTACAGCAAATTATACATGTAACTCTCCATTTTGCAGTTGAGCCCATATCGGTAGACTTTTGGGCCTGAACTGAATCTTTTGTGTATTTGAAGTTAGCATTTCTTCTCTTTTGTGGGCAGTACCCTCATTTTCTCCTCATCCATCATTACCAATTGCTTGATCTCAGCAGAGGAGATCTTTGTATGCTTACAATAGCATTTAAATATGTTTCTACTGCATGCTTTTTTAAAAAAAATAATCTTTTGGTGTATTATCATAGCAAACAAGTCTTGATTGCTACTTTGAGTCTTTATGAAATGCTGAATACAAGATTTTTTTTAAATGTGCACAGCATATGCATGTTTTCAGAAAAAAAAACCCAAACCCTGTATCAAGAGCTCAGTGTACATTTTTGAAATTCTTTACTTAAGAATAGTGGAAAGCAAAATTACAAAAAAAAAAAGAAGGAGACTGTCCCAAAGTTATTGCTTTGTCCTCGAAAAAAATGATGTCCCGTGTTTGCTGTGTATGTAAAGTGGGAGCCTTATTCAGTCAATTTTGCCGATATTAAAATGGAAATGTCTTGCCTTTCTAAAGGCTTTACTGTCCTGTTGTCCTCATTATTGAGATGTGAAATGAAAGTAAAATGCTGAATCGTAAGACTATTCCTTATTTCAAAAAGAGCATATTTAAGGATTTAACAAAAATAATGTGTTGAGCATTGCGAGTTTTATTAGATATTTTTGCAGAACTAAGTCAATTAATTATAGGTATTTCCTTGCTTTCTTTATATGTCAGAAGACTGATGAATCACAGCTGAAATTTAGGAGTATGTATGCATTCTTTTAGGCAACAAATTGCCTTTCTTTAATGGGTATGAAAGGACCCCTTGGAGTATAATTAAAGAAAATGTCTGAGTTGAGTGGTGCGTAATAGGAATTGTAGAAAAATATTTATCTACAACAAATATCCTTCACAAAACTGTACAAGTGCCAAGCAGTTCTGCAACAGATGTTAGTTACATTTATTGTTGGGAAGTGCAGTTGCTTCGGTTTTTCAAAATTTTATATTTTGTTTTAATGTGTTTTCTCCATGCATTGCTTAGGTAGAAATGATATTATAGAACCTGCATGCTGTAAGTATTAAGCAATGTCATGAATAGTTCAATTCAAAACTGTAATGGCTATTTGTAAGAATATCCAAATAACTTGTTTAATTTATGAAATGTAATTTAACCTAATTGATTTTGCAGGCATGATTGGAGAATATACTTCATATTATTAAAGTGATCATGAAAAATTACAGAAGCTAAGTTGAAATACTAATCAGTAAATGTAATCCTTTTTTCCTGTGTTCAGTTGCTGCTTAGCTGTTTCCTATATTTTTAATGTTAAAATTAAATCAAGAATTTAAATTCTACATTTCATTCTAGAAACTATAAATGAAGATGTAATTTTAAATATTGTGCCTCTTTTTTCTCTTATGTCAACTTCTGTGGTGCTTATTCCACCTTCCTATGTGAAAGATATTTGTAAGTTGTTTTGTTGTTCCTGTGACAGTAGACATACTTGTTTTCAAATAGCTGCTAGGTGATTTCAGCTGAGCCATGCTGAAGTATAGGCTGTGTATATTAACCAGACTGTAAAACTCAGACAATCATATTTGCAAAATAACCTTATTTTAGATTAAAATTGCAATAATGAAAAAGTAATCATATCTAAGTCAGTTCTGAACTGCTATTTTTGAAACCTCCTGAATTAGTAAATAAAAAAAAGTTAAAAGTGAAAAATAAATTTAGTTACTCAGCAGATGAGAAGACGGTGACATATCAGTTTTGCCACTGTTTCCAAAATACAGGGTGCAATTCTAAAACCATGTACCTAATTACGTATTTTGTTAATAAGTAGCTTGCTGATGGCATGCGCTTTTGGTTTTCCATCACAAAAGTGCTTTTGATTACAACAAGTGTTTTTGATTAGTCAGATTTCTGTTACAGGCTTAAAATATTACAGGAGATTTATGGTGATAAAAGCACTGTAAATTGCTTTGCAAGGGAACAGCAGCATTACTGTGGTTGCAAACTCGTTGAGATTTATTTTGAAATGTATGCTACTTTGTATAACAATACTGGAAGCTGGATATTGCAATGGATTCCTGTGATTTGAACCAGTATGCAAACTGAGAGTCTCTTTCCTCCCAGGTCAGACCAATATTTAGGAGTCACAAATAGGATGTGTTGGAAGTTGTCCATAGCCACTGTATTTTAAGAGCAGGCTATGGTGAGCAAACACTCTTCTAAATCTGCTGAGGACTTTTGGAAGCCATGTAGGACTGGCCAAAGGAGAAACCCAATCGAACCACGAAGCTTTGCCAGTTCAGTGGTGAAGCAGCTACATGTTTGGCAGTGTCTTGTTGTTGGGGAGTTTCTTTGTTATTTATATTTAAAGCTGTTTTCAAGATTGCAGTTGGACTAGATGATCATTGCAGGTCCCTTCCAACTGAACTATTCTATTCTAAGATCATGTATGTGAAGACATTCATAGAGTATAACCTTTTGGTGGTTTCTCTTTTAGTTATCCAAAAGTGCAGGCAATTAATAAATTTCTTTGATATAAGTTGCTCACCTCTAGTACCAGGGGAAATCATTGAAGATCTGTTCTAAATTCCCATTTTAAATTAGTGCCCTGATCATAAGTGCTATTTTTTCCTCTTGCATACAAGATCTTACTTTAAAGTTGTGGTACTGATGGGCATGTGAAGCTCCAGAGGAAAGTCTTTCCCATTTTCCTTTTTTCTTCAATAAAGCAAGATTAAAAATATCTTTGAGTTACAAACAATATTTGCAAAGGTAAGTGTGAAAGGCTGATCCCGTGTTTACATAGGTTGTGATGTGTTTATCTATTTGAGAATATTCTAAGGCATTTGGGTTTTGAATCGTGGACAGTGTTTCATTTGGTTTTCTGCTAGCAGAAAAGTGGATGGTGACTCTCCTTGTGAAAAGAGCCACCTCAGGGATGTGAGGGCTAATGTCTGTTACTCTGCCAGTTTCTTCTCTGTTGTTTATGTCTGGAAATAATTTTGTAGATAAACAATGTCTTATTGATGCCTTAAGTGTCTTAAAGCTAAATAACCATCGCAGGAGAATGTCCAGGTTTGTCAGCATCTGTGGAGGCTCTTGCTGGTGCCGGCGAGCTGGAGCACTCCAGAAACTGTGCTTTCTGGGCCTGCTGATGCTTTACAGTCTGAGTTGGCTGCATGTGATAGGCTTAATTCCTGG